ACTGGCTTTCGTGACCATGTAATTTCTTTATCTGGGATTGTTTTCTTTTCTACATTTGATTTATATCGTGGTAATGTAGTTCCTTAATTAAGTCTGTTGAGTGTCATACTGAAGGGATATTATTATTTCTGTGTACACATTAGGAACTTTTAATTTTATTTATGACAAAGTTGAGTACTTCTGGTTGGGTAACTTAATAGTTTCATCATTATCCAGAAGGTTAAGCCTATTATGGAACCTGTCATATTCTTATTGTGTATATGTTTAATATACAAGCTTGTTGTTGTTTGGTTATGTCCCGGACTGCTGTGTTTATCAACCTTATTAGACATGATGTTGACTATGTGTTTTAATTTATAATTTTCCCAACATTTTTTTTTTTCGCACTCTCACGTGTGGTTGGGTTACTGCAAAAGAATAAGGAGCCTTTGCCCAGTAGGGTATTTTTGGTTCTTTTGAACTTTTGTACTATTGAACTCCTTGCTCATATGGTATTTCAAGTTGCGTAGTGGCTTATAATCCCACCTCCGTTGTGGTTCTTAAATTGCCTCTTTTTATTATTCCAGTAATATACTAACTTTAACCTAGAAGTTTGCTTCTTCATGGTTTACATTTTTTAACTTCAGCCATTGGAGTTCTATTTGTCATATCTCCATGTAAATATTGTAAACCTTCCCATCATTGGGTCCTTGTAATAGTTATACAATTTCCCTTTCTTAAACTTGTTGATAATTCTTATGTTGTTCATCAGTACCTGCCTTGCAGGATGTGGCTATATACATTTTACCTTTCTTAAACTTGATAATAATTCTTATGTTGTGCATCCATACCTGCCTTTCAGGATGTGGCTACTGTAACCAGTTTTCTTCAGAGCAGTTGTGGAATTGCACCCGAAAAGAAGCAGCTTTCTGTCAGTGAAAAAAACTGGGGTGAAGTTGATTTAAATGGTGAGTGGATTTTGTTGGCATGTAGTGTTGTTATGTCATTTCTGTATTTATTCCTTTTTTGCCTTAGAAGCAATTTATTGAAAGTAAATTTGTTTTGGTTTTGTTTGGAACTCCTAAACTAAGAAGGAAGAAATTATGAGGCATTACATTTTAAATGGTTTGGTCTTTTGGAAAACCAGGTGTAGAAGAAAATGTGAAGGAAAGAAAAGAATTTTTTTTTCTTCATAAATGGTTATTTTATTTTATTTTTCATACCTTTTCATTTTCCCTAGTTGGTTCGAAGCTCCAAATAAAGCCTTAGTAACTTTCCCCACCAATTTTGCAAATTATAGCCTCTTTCATTGGTAATATGTAGTTATCATCTTATGTTTGCTCTTTCTTTTTGTATCATAAATAAGAGAATGGACTTGTGCCACCCTATTTCATCATTGGCTTTTGGATGATGAATTAGTTTATATATCTTTTTTCTCATTCAAGCCATTACTTTGGAGTTTGCGTGCGTGGAGGGGCTTGAGACGATTTACCATTTTACTTGTATACATTACTTCCTTCACATATATCCTGTTGTTTTTTTAAAACAACTCACAAGTTTTTATTTATTTTCATTTTTAAATTTGTAGGGAATATCCTGACTTTTCTAGTTGGTTCAAAGCAAGCATTTGAGGTATCTTTAGCAGATGTCTCCCAAACACAACTTCAAGGAAAAAATGATGTCATTTTAAAGTTCCATGTGGATGACACAACTGGTGCTAATGAGGTTGATTTGAGTTCATATTGAGTTTTCTGAATCATGCTGTCTTTGTACATCTGATGCTTTCTAGGTTGAATTTATTGGAGCAATTTCATTATCATGATGCTTTGGTGTTATGGTTGCAGAAAGATTCATTGATGGAGATAAGTTTTCACATTCCTAATTCCAACACTCAGTTTGTTGGTGATGAAAATCGTCCCTCTACTCAGGTAAGTTTTTTTTTTCTTTTGGTTTCCTGGGTTTGCTTTGAATTACGGGTAGAAATCGAACAATTGTTTACTTATATTTTTTTCTTTTATGTTAGGTCTTTCGTGAAAAAATCATGTCAATGGCGGATGTTGGTGCAGGCGGTGAAGAGTCTGTTGTTACATTTGAAGGAATTGTGATTCTTACTCCAAGGTGAGTACTGTGCTTCTATCTGGTATCTTTTGTAGTTCCGTGGTATTTATGTGTCTTTTATATTATGTTGGTTTTTCTTTGTGCAGGGGTCGATACAATGTTGACCTTCATCTTTCATTTTTGAGGCTCCAAGGGCAAGCTAATGATTTTAAAATTCAGTACAGCAGTGTTGTTTGCCTTTTTCTACTGCCTAAGGTTATTTATTATTTATAGTTTAGAAGTTTTTTTTTTTTTTGATCCAGAAGTTCATTTTCTTTGCTTAATGTTAGAAAAATTAACATGCAAGTTGTCAATTGATCAATATTGACTAGTTGTGTTTTTTGGAAGATGCAACAATATTGAACTTAACTCACATATATTGTCATGTGTTTCTGCAGTCTAACCAACCACATACATTTTGTAAAAAAACTGATGTATTATTGATTGATGTATTGTTATGTTGTATTACAATGATTCATGATTCCTATATATAGAAGAGGGTGAGTGTGTAGTAGGTAAAAAGTAGGTGAAGTGGAGGTGGTAGTGGTGTAGTGGGTTAGGTTTAGTGGAGTAGGTTTAAGTGGGGGAAGGTTTAGTGGAGTAGGTGAGGTGGTAGTGGTGTAGTGGGTTAGGTTTAGTGGAGTAGGTGAGATGGTAGTGGTGTAGTGGGTTAGGTTTAGTGGAGTAGGTGAGATGGTAGTGGTGTAGTGGGTTAGGTTTAGTGGAGTAGGTGAGATGGTAGTGGTGTAGTGGGTTAGGTTTAGTGGAGTAGGTGAGATGGTAGTGGTGTAGTGGGTTAGGTTTAGTGGAGTAGGTGAGATGGTAGTGGTGTAGTGGGTTAGGTTTAGTGGAGTAGGTGAGATGGTAGTGGTGTAGTGGGTTAGGTTTAGTGGAGTAGGTGAAAGCATGGTCTTATAGTGTTTAGCAGTGAAACTAATAAAATTGAAATTTGGGACCAAAATGACACATAATGCATACTTTAGGGAAAATTTAGGGAAAATTTGTGTATTTTATAATTATTCGGTTAATTATTTAGAGGACCGTTTGAAATTAGACCAATTTGACTTGGATTGAAAATTTTATAAATGAAATTGCCAAAATTGAAGTTTGAAGGATTAAAGTAACATGGTAAACATACTTTAAGGACTACAACATATATTTGTCCTTTTTATTTATCTCATTGTAATTGAGAATTTCCCATTTCTCAACCAACAATTTTTCTTCAATGCTAAACTTTAGGTTATGTTTGGATGACATTGCTAGGAATAAAATCACGTGTCGATGTTATTCAAGTGTTTTGTTTGACTAGGAATTCTCTACGAGAAGATTATGAAATTTTAATTATTATGGCCCCATTTATTTATTTTACTCTTATTGAGGTTATGGGTTCGAACTTGAAGGCAACCACTTTATACAATTATTCCAAAAAGTAAATGTAGTTCTTTACCTAATTACGCATTGCTTATATATATATATATATATATGGGTAAATTGCACTGACACCCCTTGACGTTTATGTTTAATACATATTTCCCCCTAACATTTGAAATCTGACATTTGCTACCCCTGAGAATTTTTTAAATTCTGAAAACCTCTTTAGCATTTCTGGTTTCAGCATTATTTAACTACCCTAATATGAAAATTGTTTGAAAATTATCTCTTCTGTGAAGATAAATGATGTTGTAATTAACACAAAAGACTTTTCCTTAATGCTTATGAGATTTCTATTACTTAATTTTTCATTTGTGAGTGGTTAAGACATTATTCCTTGTCTGGTGAATGCTATTTTTAGATCTTTATTTAATTTTGTTGGAGTGTAGAATCAAGGCTAGAGGGATTCTACTACTCTTGATATATAGCCGTGTTAGTGTCATCCTCTATAGCAATCTATGAGTTATGATACCTTTGGAATTACAATATAACAACTTTTTGTCCACAGGTTGTAAAAATTGTGCCAATGTAGCCCCAGATGTATTTGGCATTGAGGAAGATTTGGAAGAGCCAGAGCATATAGTCAGTGTGGGAAACCTGAATTAGTTCAACAAGGAATAGATAGTTCGTAAGTTCCTGATCAATGGTTATGGCTGTGATGAACTAATTATGGTTTGCTCAGGCGTACTGTAAGAAAGTGAAAAAGTTGCAGGCATTTTACTTCAATCATCGAGTATTAACTTTATCTAGTATGGCAAAAAATGAATCAAACCCTTTTTGCACTATTGTATAGCTCTTAAGTTGTTACTTTTATTTTTCATTTAGTGACAGATTAGAGACAAAAAACATTGTTATTTTAACAAGACGTCATTTTTGAAGATTTTTTATTTTTTATTTTTTGTGTTCAAGAAATGAATCTGATATTTCTATCTTACTTTTTTCTCTGTATTTTGCCAATTATCTTTAGGTAATATACTTATTTTTCTTTTACACATTTCCCTTAACATTCAAACACCCTTTAACAAATAGACCAAAGAATCTTGGAGAGTTGGTGCCTATCTTTTTTTGAGTTTGCTCTTCATGATTTACAATTTTTGTGTAATTGTTCTATAGAATTTACATTAACTTGTAAGAATGATCAACTTCCCTGGCATTTAGAGTACATATATTAGCTGATTTAAGGTAAGGCAACACCCAGTGATCTTTGTCGTTTAACACTTTATGTGAATATTTTAATGGATGGTGTCACTTTTGTTTTAATGGATGGTGTCACTTTTGGACAACCCTAACTAAGTTTCGAACTAGTGTGAAGTAGTTGCTAGATGAACCAACCTGGACTTTGGTTTTGGCAAGACTTCTTGATATTTTAGCTCCTGAAACCTAGTACATTAGCTGGTTTATGGTTTCTTGATGAGATCTGTTTTGTTTTATTTAAATTTGGATGGATTTTCGATGATGTGAAAATTGCCTTCTTAACTTGCATATGTTGGGAAATGCAGAATGCAGGGCAACTTAGGATTCACTCAGGGGGTATATTGTGGAAAAAATCAGGAGGTGGGAAAGCGGTGGAAGTTGACAAGGCTGATGTTGTGGGCCTAACCTGGATGAAGGTACCCTGGTCTAATCAACTAGGGGTTAGAATTAAGGACAGTCTGTACTACAAATTCACTGGCTTCCGTGACCAGGTAATTTCTTTATCTGGGATTGTTTTCTTTTCTGCATTTGATTTATATCGTGGTAATGTAGTTCCTTAATTAAGTCTGTTGAGTGTCATACTGAAGGGATATTATTATTTCTGTGTACACATTAGGAACTTTTAATTTTATTTATGACAAAGTTGAGTACTCCTGGTTGGGTAACTTAATAGTTTCATCATTATCCAGAAGGTTAAGCCTATTATGGAACCTGTCATATGCTTATTGTGTATATGTTTAATATACAAGCTTGTTGTTGTTTGGTTATGTCCCAGACTGCTGTGTTTGTCAACCTTATTAGACATGATGTTGACTATGTGTTTTAATTTATAATTTTCCCAACATTTTTTTTTCGCACTCTCACGTGTGGTTGGGTTACTGCAAAAGAATAAGGAGCCTTTGCCCAGTAGGGTATTTTTGGTTCTTTTGAACTTTTGTACTATTGAACTCCTTGCTCATATGGTATTTCAAGTTGCGTAGTGGCTTATAATCCCACCTCCATTGTGATTCTTAAATTGCCTCTTTTTATGATTCCAATAATATACTAACTTTAACCTAGAAGTTTGCTTCTTCATGGTTTACATTTTTTAACTTCAGCCATTGGAGTTCTATTTGTCATATCTCCATGTAAATATTGTAAACCTTCCCATCATTGGGTCCTTGTAATAGTTATACAATTTCCCTTTCTTAAACTTGTTGATAATTCTTATGTTGTTCATCAGTACCTGCCTTGCAGGATGTGGCTATATACATTTTACCTTTCTTAAACTTGATAATAATTCTTATGTTGTGCATCCATACCTGCCTTTCAGGATGTGGCTACTGTAACCAGTTTTCTTCAGAGCAGTTGTGGAATTGCACCCGAAAAGAAGCAGCTTTCTGTCAGTGAAAAAAACTGGGGTGAAGTTGATTTAAATGGTGAGTGGATTTTGTTGGCATGTAGTGTTGTTATGTCATTTCTGTATTTATTCCTTTTTTGCCTTAGAAGCAATTTATTGAAAGTAAATTTGTTTTGGTTTTGTTTGGAACTCCTAAACTAAGAAGGAAGAAATTATGAGGCATTACATTTTAAATGGTTTGGTCTTTTGGAAATCCAGGTGTAGAAGAAAATGTGAAGGAAAGAAAAGAATTTTTTTTTTCTTCATAAATGGTTCTTTTATTTTATTTTTCATACCTTTTCATTTTCCCTAGTTGGTTCGAAGCTCCAAATAAAGCCTTAGTAACTTTCCCCATCAATTTTGCAAATTATAGCCTCTTTCATTGGTAATATGTAGTTATCATCTTATGTTTGCTCTTTTTTTTTTTTATCATAAATAAGAGAATGGACTTGTGCCACCCTATTTCATCATTGGCTTTTGGATGATGAATTAGTTTATATATCTTTTTTCTCATTCAAGCCATTACTTTGGAGTTTGCGTGCGTGGAGGGCTTGAGACGATTTACCATTTTACTTGTATACATTACTTCCTTCACATATATCCTGTTGTTTTTTTAAAACAACTCACAAGTTTTTATTTATTTTCATTTTTAAATTTGTAGGGAATATGCTTACTTTTCTAGTTGGTTCAAAGCAAGCATTTGAGGTATCTTTAGCAGATGTCTCCCAAACACAACTTCAAGGAAAAAATGATGTCATTTTAGAGTTCCATGTGGATGACACAACTGGTGCTAATGAGGTTGATTTGAGTTCATATTGAGTTTTCTAAATCATGCTGTCTTTGTACATCTGATGCTTTCTAGGTTGAATTTATTGGAGTAATTTCATTATCATGATGCTTTGGCGTTATGGTTGCAGAAAGATTCATTGATGGAGATAAGTTTTCACATTCCTAATTCCAACACTCAGTTTGTTGGTGATGAAAATCGTCCCTCTGCTCAGGTAAGTTTTTTTTTTCTTTTGGTTTCCTGGGTTTTCTTTGAATCACGGGTAGAAATCGAACAATTGTTTACTTATATTTTTTCCTTTTATGTTAGGTCTTTCGTGACAAAATCATGTCAATGGCGGATGTTGGTGCAGGCAGTGAAGAGTCTATTGTTACGTTTGAAGGAATTGTGATTCTTACTCCAAGGTGAGTACTGTGCTTCTATCTGGTATCTTTTGTAGTTCCGTGGTATTTATGTGTCTTTTATATTATGTTGGTTTTTCTTTGTGCAGGGGTCGATACAATGTTGAACTTCATCTTTCATTTTTGAGGCTCCAAGGGCAAGCTAATGATTTTAAAATTCAGTACAGCAGTGTTGTACGCCTTTTTCTACTGCCTAAGGTTATTTATTATTTATAGTTTAGAAGTTTTTTTTTTTTTTCTTGGTCCAGAAGTTCATTTTCTTTGCTTAATGTTAGAAAAATTAACATGCAAATTGTCAATTGATCAATATTGACTAGTTGTGTTTTTTGGAAGATGCAACAATATTGAACTTAACTCACATATATTGTCATGTGTTTCTGCAGTCTAACCAACCACATACCTTTGTTGTTGTTACTCTCGATCCACCTATCCGTAAAGGCCAAACTTTGTACCCACATATTGTCTTGCAGGTATTGTTGGTTGTGTTTCATTAAGGTCACCATTTAAGCTTTCTTAGAGATCATGTGTCCATGTGATGATTTATATTGTACCCTACCATCTTTATGCAGTTTGAAACAGACTATGTGGTTGAAAGCACCCTGTCAATGAATGAAGATCTTTTGAATAGCAAATACACAAGCATTGAGTATACACAAGCATTGATACAAGCATTGAAAGCACCCTGTCTTTGGAATCTCTCTCCCAGGTAAATAAACAACAAGCATTGAGTATACACAACTCTGAAGATAACAACATGGGTGTGTTCCATGGAGACTTGGACAGATCAGCAGGAGTACAAGTTGCTAGTAGTGCTACTACATCAAAGAGAATACGAGACGACCTTAATGACAATGACTACAATGCAACAGCAGGATCCAGTGGAAGTCCTGGAATTGATGATCAAGAGGACCTCCTCAACCTCAACAGCAAAAGGCTTAGGTAAGTATCTCTTATAACTCAGTTACAGTTTACTCCAAATAAAAATGTCATCAACTCACACTCCCACTGCAAATTAGAAAATAAAATTAGAATAGACATAACCCATTTCAAATGAGTCAAAATTGGTCTAATTTCAAATGTACTGTCTAATTCGTTTACACAATAGTAGTAAACTATACTTGTGGGTTTCTAAAATATGTGCACTCCGTATCACCTTTTTCTTCAGTTTTTAGTTTTATCTCTTTGGTCCCTAAGCATATAATATATATGATGAAGATGAAGCATGGTCTTATAGTGTTTAGCAGTGAAACTAATAAAATTGAAATTTGGGACCAAAATGACACATAATGCATACTTTAGGGAAAATTTTTGTATTTTATAATTATTTGGTTATTTATTTAGAGGACCGTTTGAAATTAGACCAATTTGACTTGGATTGAAAATTTTATAAATGAAATTGGCAAAATTGAAATTTGAAGGACTAAAGAAACATGGTAAACATACTTTAAGGACTACAACATATATTTGTCCTTTTTATTTATCTCATTGTAATTGAGAATTTCCCATTTCTCAACCAACAATTTTTCTTCAATGCTAAACTTTAGGTTATGTTTGGATGACATTGCTAGGAATAAAATCACGTGTCGATGTTATTCAAGTGTTTTGTTTGACTAAGAATTCTCTACGAGAAGATTATGAAATTTTAATTATTATGGCCCCATTTATTTATTTTACTCTTATTGAGGTTATGGGTTCAAACTTGAAGGCAACCACTTTATACAATTATTCCAAAAAGTAAATGTAGTTCTTTACCTAATTACAGAGGCGCCCAAGTTGTTGCTGCAGTGGAGGAGCAGGGAGTAGTGATCGTGCCCAGTGGAGTGGGAAACACGGAGGCAACACCGTCAAGGGCCGCCCAGGACGGAGGCAAGAAGAAAAGACCGGCGGAATAGGCGAAGAAGTGAGGTCGATTGGGGGCCGGCTGCAGAAAAAAAAACAAAGCTGTTGGTGTTTTTTTTTTTTTTTTTTGTGTAAAATTGTGATCGGGGTGGATCCCTGAGATAAATAAAATATGGTTTGGTGTGCAAAGCTATATGGTATGAATGGAATTAGAAAAAGATTAAAAATAATGTGAAAGAAAAATAAAGAAAAAAGAATAAAAATATATTTGAAATCAAAAATGAAAGATGGGGGAAATAAGGAAAATGGTATGGAGAAAATAAAAAAAAAATAATGGAGTTGGAAATCAAACGGAGGAGAGAGAGGGGACAAGCCCATGTGATAAAGTGGCTGCTGGGGACTCCAGAAATAATATATTTGCAACTTTGTTCCAGGCATGCTTTCTTGGATAAAGGGTTTTACAGTCTGAATTTACACCAAAAAGTCCAATCTCTCCCATGGCTGATTTCTGATTTCTGTGGGTCAGTGGCTCCAATGAGCTTCCTGCCATATGTTATCACTCCTTCGCCTTCCCAGACCATTGCAATGACAGGGCCAGAACTAAGGAAGTTGCACAGGCCATTAAAGAAAGGTCTTTCCTTGAGATCAGGATAATGCTTTTGGGCAAAAGCCTTTGAAGGAACCACTATTTTAATCGCCACAAGCTTAAAACCTTTTCGCTCAAAACGCGATATGATTTCTGCAATCAGCCCTCTCTGAACACCATCGGGCTTGATAGCAATGAAAGTGCGCTCCATCTCTGCAGCATGCGCCTCCTGCTCCTGAAGCATGTAGGCTGCAGCAGGAAGGGCAAGCGCCCCAGACATCCATCCTCGGGACGTATTTCCAGAATCGGTCTTCTCGTATGAAGCTAAATAAGGCACATTTCCTCTTAATAAAACTGTCGCAGCACTAGCTACAGCTCGACTTTCAGAAAAGACATGAGAGGTCTGCATAGAAGCAGAAAGTAGAGACCTGGCAGCTCGGGAAGCAGATCTGCATACTTGAGAGCTCATCGTTGCAGACATGGTGTTCGACGAAATGTCCCAGAGGGATTTTGGGTTTGCTTCGGCGAGGTGGTGAAGAAGAGTGAAGGTATGTGTAAAAAATTCTAGCAGACTAGGTTGAGGTCCGGCGGACGGCCAAGGTGAGGTTGCCGCCCGCCGGTGAAGCGAAAAATACAAAGTTCTTAACCTTGCTCTGATACCATGTAAAAAAACTGATGTATTATTGATTGATGTATTGTTATGTTGTATTACAATGATTCATGATTCCTATATATAGAAGAGGGTGAGTGTGTAGTAGGTAAAAAGTAGGTGAAGTGGAGGTGGTAGTGGTGTAGTGGGTTAGGTTTAGTGGAGTAGGTTTAAGTGGGTGAAGTAGATGGAGAGTAGGTGGATTTTAACACCTTTGTTGTTGTTACTCTCGATCCACCTATCCGTAAAGGCCAAACTTTGTACCCACATATTGTCTTGTAGGTATTGTTGGTTGTGTTTCATTAAGGTCACCATTGAAGCTTTCTTAGAGATCATGTGTCCATGTGATGATTTATATTGTACCCTACCATCTTTATGCAGTTTGAAACAGACTATGTGGTTGAAAGCACCCTGTCAATGAATGAAGATCTTTTGAATAGCAAATACACAAGCATTGAGTATACACAAGCATTGATACAAGCATTGAAAGCACCCTGTCTTTGGAATCTCTCTCCCAGGTAAATAAACAACAAGCATTGAGTATACACAGCTCTGAAGATAACAACATGGGTGTGTTCCATGGAGACTTGGACAGATCAGCAGGAGTACAAGTTGCTAGTAGTGCTACTACATCAAAGACAAGACGAAACGACCTTAATGACAATGACTATGATGCAGCAGAAGGATCCAGTGGAAGTCCTGGAATTGATGATCAAGAGGACCTCCTCCACCTCAACAACAAAAGGCTTAGGTAAGTATCTCTTATAACTCAGTTACAGTTTACTCCAAATAAAAATGTCATCAACTCACACTCCCACTGCAAATTAGAAAATAAAATTAGAATAGACATAACCCATTTCAAATGAGTCAAAATTGGTCTAATTTCAAATGTACTGTCTAATTCGTTTACACAATAGTAGTAAACTATACTTGTGGGTTTCTAAAATATGTGCACTCCGTATCACCTTTTTCTTCAGTTTTTAGTTTTATCTCTTTGGTCCCTAAGCTTATAATATATATGATGAAGATGAAGCATGCTCTTATAGTGTTTAGCAGTGAAACTAATAAAATTGAAATTTGGGACCAAAATGACACATAATGCATACTTTAGGGAAAATTTTTGTATTTTATAATTATTTGGTTATTTATTTAGAGGACCGTTTGAAATTAGACCAATTTGACTTGGATTGAAAATTTTATAAATGAAATTGGCAAAATTGAAGTTTGAAGGATTAAAGTAACATGGTAAACATACTTTAAGGACTAGAACATATATTTGTCCTTTTTATTTATCTCATTGTAATTGAGAATTTCCCATTTCTCAACCAACAATTTTTCTTCAATGCTAAACTTTAGGTTATGTTTGGATGACATTGCTAGGAATAAAATCACGTGTCGATGTTATTCAAGTGTTTTGTTTGACTAAGAATTCTCTACGAGAAGATTATGAAATTTTAATTATTATGGCCCCATTTATTTATTTTACTCTTATTGAGGTTATGGGTTCGAACTTGAAGGCAACCACTTTATACAATTATTCCAAAAAGTAAATGTAGTTCTTTACCTAATTACGCATTGCTTATATATATATATATATATGGGTAAATTACACTGACACCCCTTGACGTTTATGTTTAATACATATTTCCCCCTAACATTTGAAATCTGACATTTGCTACCCCTGAGAATTTCTAAAATTCTGAAAACCTCTTTACCATTTCTGGTTTCAGCATTATTTAACTACCCTAATATGAAAATTGTTTGAAAATGATCTCTTCTGTGAAGATAAATGATGCTGTAATTAACACAAAAGACTTTTCCTTAATGCTTATGAGATTTCTATTACTTAATTTTTCATTTGTGAGTGGTTAAGACATTATTCCTTGTCTGGTGAATGCTATTTTTAGATCTTTATTTAATTTTGTTGGAGTGTAGAATCAAGGCTGGAGGGATTCTACTACTCTTGATATATAGCCGTGTTAGTGTCATCCTCTATAGCAATCTATGAGTTATGATACCTTTGGAATTACAATATAACAACTTTTTGTCCACAGGTTGTAAAAATTGTGCCAATGTAGCCCCAGATGTATTTGGCATTGAGGAAGATTTGGAAGAGCCAGAGCATATAGTCAGTGTGGGAAACCTGAATTAGTTCAACAAGGAATAGATAGTTCGTAAGTTCCTAATCAATAGTTATGGCTGTGATGCACTAATTATGGTTTGCTCAGGCGTACTGTAAGAAAGTGAAAAAGTTGCAGGCATTTTACTTCAATCATCGAGTATTAACTTTATCTAGTATGGCAAAAAATGAATCAAACCCTTTTTGCACTATTGTATAGCTCTTAAGTTGTTACTTTTATTTGTCATTTAGTGACAGATTAGAGACACAAAACATTGTTATTTTAACAAGACGTCATTTTTGAGGATTTTTTATTTTTTATTTTTTGTGTTCAAGGAATGAATATGATATTTCTATCTTACTTTTTTCTCTGTATTTTGCCAATTATCTTTAGGTAATATACTTATTTTTCTTTTACACATTTCCCTTAACATTCAAACACCCTTTAACAAATAGACCAAAGAATCTTGGAGAGTTGGTGCCTATCTTTTTTTGAGTTTGCTCTTCATGATTTACAATTGTTGTGTAATTGTTCTATAGAATTTACATTAACTTGTAAGAATGATCAACTTCCCTGGCATTTATAGTACATATATTAGCTGATTTAAGGTAAGGGAAAACCCAGTGATCTTTGTCGTTTAACACTTTATGTGAATATTTTAATGGATGGTGTCACTTTTGGACAACCCTAACTAAGTTTCGAACTAATGTGAAGTAGTTGCTAGATGAACCTACCTGGACATTGGTTTTGGCAAGACCTCTTGATATTTTAGCTCCTGAAACCTAGTACATTAGCTGGTTTATGGTTTCTTGATGAGATCTGAATAATCAGTAATCATAGAATTTTTGCCACATGTTAAAAAGTTAGTGCAGTGGACGTCTTTAGATAGTTAGATAGTTACTTCTTTTTCATTTCAGCCCAGTTGATTGCATCCATTGGACTTCTGCTGCACAACTATCTTTGCTTGAAGACGAAATGCGGAGGGTAGAAAGAGTAAATGTGAGGCACACGCTTAAAGTTTCATTGCTTCGCAGTTTATTTTACAATAATTTATGTGTATCTGATATCAGTATGTTGAATCTCTTTATAGTTTACAGAATTTGTGACTTTTTGGCTTGCTGTTGTCTATTTTCAAGTTTAAATATTATCTTTATTGCAGATCCAAGGGATTTAACATCATTTTCAAAACGGGTTCAGGCCCAAAAATCACCCCAAAAATCTGAATATCTGGGCATGACTTGCCTTTTAGACATGATGTTACTTGGGTTTCACTGGTTTCTTAACATAGAATTCATAATTTCTTTTATGAGTTACATCTTTTGAATGATATTAGAGACTAGTTTTTCTTGCTTGATATTCTACTGTAGAGATGAATTCATCAGGACACCTTGAAGAGACCAAATAATCTTTCAAAACTTATCTTCTAATATGTGACATTGTCAGTTACTTTAAAATAAAAATAAATAAAAAATAAAAAGGAAGAAAATCTTCATCTCACATTAAAAGTATGCCTTAGTACTGTGCATGATAACTTTGTTCATTTGTCAAGTTCATTAAAAATAAAAACTGAAATAGTTAAAAATTAACGGTTTTCATTAATGACAATCAGGTTGCACTGATGCTTTCAGAAATGGGATCTTCTTTGGTGGATGTTTTTAGAATGGTAAGACCTCAATGTTGAATGGTTTGACCATGCCTCATTGTCCCTGATAACCTCCTGAAATGTAGTAGTGCTCAAACTTTTGATTCATTTATGAAAGTGAATTACTTTGTAAAAACAAAGTTGATATCTATTTAAAGAACCTAAAATATTTATGCTGCTTTTGTGCCTTGTATGGTTTAGTGAACTTGATTGCAATTATTCAGGCACAACGTCTTGTGTTATTAACACCTTTTGAGATTTTCATAGGATTCGATGGAATTTAATTATTTTCCTATTGACAACTTTCTTTTATTGAATAAAGTGTCAAATTATGCTCACAAATTCCTTCATCTATTTCTAAATGCTGGTTCTTTAATCAGTTACTAAGTTCTTCAGGTGGCATTTCAAAGAGGTTGTGGTACAAGGAATGGATAGTTTGATATTTGCAGCTCTTTAGTCAGTAGTTATTTGATGGCAATGCCGCATTTAATACTTATTGCTGTCATCAATAGGCAAAATCATTGAAAACCTTGAAAAGTTTTCTAGCAGCAGACCTTGTCTCTTAGGAAGATCTCTGATAGAGATAATTAAACTGCTAGCATACTTTAATCTTTTCAGTATTAATGTATTTGATTATTATTTTTCATCAAATTACTCCAATGTGGCAGGCAACCTCTCGATGGGAAAAGAGACAAGCTAAAATGTTGTTAAAAACTCTGATATTTTTTCCTTTTTCTTCATTTTCTTTTTTTGTGGGTTCTTCTGTATTGGATTTCAGCTATTATTTGGTGTCTCAATATTTTTCATATCTATGCTTTTTTTGATTTTATAAAAGCCTTTCTTGTAATCTTCTTTATTCATCTTTAGCAATGCATTTTTAAACTGCATTGCCTACAATTTCACATGGCAATTATTATTTGAATTAGTGAAGCAAATGTTTCCTAAATAAGCCACAAACATGGAATGACGAGAATGATGGCATTCCAGTTGAGATATATATTAAACCTACGATTTTCTTTATGTTTTGACCTTGGATATTGTCTGCATCATGTTTCATCTTTTAATGCTGCACTGGGCAGGTATATTTGTTATGTTCATTGATTTTTGTTATTATAAATCAAAACAGTGTTAGGTTTGACGAATGGCTTATATATATTGTGTCTAGGCAAAAGCTAAAGTGAGGATGATGAAGCAGAAGGGTTCTGATCAAACTGAATCATATTGGAGCAACCTCTGGGGTAAGCCCAGAGACTATCAAAATACAGGTAGCAAGGATTAACAAAAAAAATTGCTGATTTTGATGTTCAAAATCATGGAAAGCGGTCTACTTCTATTATTTTGATATAAATATTTTGTCAAGTGCAAATATCAGCTCTATTGTTTCTCTCATATGTTTCCAAGAATTCTTTAGCTCGATTGAGTATACATTGTTGGCATGTGTTTGTTCCTAAAGTTGTAGAATGTGGTAAAATAATACGGCATATGCAAACTTGCATTGACCTTTCCACTGAAATTTATTATTTCTTTCCATTAGGTAAAATGCTGTCCAAATTAATGTTTCGTGTACTTTGGGAAGCAGTGTATGTTGCATATGCCGACCTATATGCAACATACACTGATCGAAGCAGTGTAAAATACTATCCAAATTAATGTTTCGTGCATTTTCCATTAGGCAAAAGTACAAAAGTGTTATTGGACAGCATTTTCCTTTGGTCGGCATATTACATTACATTATACTACATTGCAAAAGTGTTTTGACAAAATTACATTGATCCACCTTATCAAAAACAACTCTAACAAAAGCAATGAATTTATTATATTATCCTCTCTATCTAAAATGACTTTTTCGAATAATAAATTCCTAAATTACTGATTCACTTCTTGAGTAAACTCGGTGATTCCATGCTGTCATCTCCCTTTACCCAAATGCACCATTATCATCCCCATGAATGATGATAAGCGCGAAACACTGCCACCCACACTTCGCGACCATAGCCTCACAAGACCATTGCCGCCCAATCTTTCAACTCTCTCTCTCTCTCTCTCTTTTCCGCTCTTCATCAAACCCAACCATCCAACATGACACCCATGCCACATGGCCGAAACAAAAACAACCAAACAACAAAACCATCTTTAGCAAGTGATCACACTATAACCATCACCACAACAATTACCATTGTTGTCTTCTACCACCATGCACCACCCATCACCACTCACTACATCCTTGAACTTCACCAATAATTTATTTTAGGAATCCAAAATGGTGTCTTATAGCTAACGATCTTATTTGCTTCAATCCATACCACCTTAAACATTGCAAAACACCCACGTTTGCTAGAACAAAAGCCATCATTATAGTCATGGAATTGTCATGCCGTCTTCTCTCACCTAAAATTTTACATTGTTTCTTTAGAATTCTACAACTCTCTGCATTTTTTTTTCCAAATTTTTAATTTACTTTCCATTTTAAAGATTGATATAGGTGTAGAAAGATTAAACTAAATTACTTGTGGAATGAGATTTTCATTTGCAATTTAAATATGGAGGCTGTGGATCTTCTAATTCTTAAAAGAAGTATGGGATTCTTAGAAACTATGTACAAATTTTGTATTGGCATGTATAACAACCCAAGTGAGTTGGTTAGGTGGATTCTTGGAGTTTCAACTCCAGAAGGTCCCACATGAAGTGGGCTTGATTCCAGCTCGAGCTTGAGCACGTTTTTATTTTCCAAAAAGCTCCAAATTGCCTTGCTCGATCAGCGCTCAAGCGGGCTCTAGGTTTGGATCAATTGTTGACCTAATTAGGACAGTAATTATTTTTTTTTATAAATTGATACCTGGTTTTCTTTGTAATATAAGGAAATGTACTTTGGAACATGTATGGTGATTTAACTGCATCATCTGGTATTGTTATTGAGATGTTCAACTTGTCGGCCTGTATAATGATCCGTATACTTTATATCAACCAGAAGATGCTTGGTCTTGTCAATTTTATTTCTTGGGGAAATTGGTTACAATTCTCAATTCTTTCTTTGCTTTTATACTCTGTTTCCCACATGTTGGTCTTTTTATTTTTGATTTTTTGGATTTTGCATCAGGAATGCAATTTCTGCTTCAATCATTCTAGGTTAAAATTCTTTTGGTTTTACTTTTTTTTGGAATATTTTATTGTTCATATCAATATTCAGTACTAGATATCATTAGCCAATAGTCAAAACTGGATATTATTAAATAATTGTTACAATTCTTTTCTTATAGTAATTATTGATTGGGGATTAATCATTGTTGCAATGTTTGATGTGTTCTTCTCTCTCTGACATCTTTTTATGCATTCATTACGTGGTTGGTTTTTTCAATGGACTTGTTACCAGCATGGACACTTCCAAGGTGCATGTCCATGTCCAAACCAATGCTCATCGGACACTTCCTGACATGTGTTGGGCATATAGTCAAATGTGTTATATTATTATTTTTTATTAGTTTTAGACCAAGACACACTTCTGATGCATGGGGGACACACATGTCCATTGCTTACACACACACATGAAACACAGTACAAGTAACTTAGCCAATACAATGGTAAAAAGAAAAAAGAAAGTAACAATTGTTGTTCAGCATTCTTGTTGTTTTCATTTTTTTCTTGATACGAGTGTTTCAATGCTTTATAGGTGGTTGATGCTTATGCGTTGATTGGGGATGTTTCTGGTCTTGCTGAAAAGATACAAAGCTTCTTTATGCAGGAGGTTCTCTCAGTAACCCATTCTGTCTTGAAAAATATTTTGCAGGAGGTATGCTGCTGCATTCTATTATCAATTGAATTCATTACTGAAGCAGCTGGAGATAAACAAAGTGAAAAGAAACAAGATACTTGCACATCATTGTGTTTGTGTGTTGGTTTGGACTTCTTTGGGCCAGGTGTAGTTTATCAATCTGTAGATTTCCTTAAGAACAAAAGAAAGAAAAGTGTATCCCGTCCCTCATCGCATAGTTGTCTCACTTTAGTTGGTCTTATAACTCTCCAATCATCTTAGTGTTATGCCCTTCTAGAGGTAGTGCATGAGTTTGGACTTATTTTTGTTCCGATATGGTTTCTCTCTGTTTCTTTTATACTTCTTTAAGATCAAAGGACAGAAAAGGTGTATTCGGCCCACATCCAGTAGTTGTCCCACCCTAGTGAGCCAATAAGTCTCCATCACTCTTTCGTGAGTCAGGTCCTTTTGGAGATAAGTTTGTGGGTTTGGACTTCTTTGGCCTAGGCGTGGTTTGTGTGTTACATTTCCTTAAGATCAATAGAACCAAGTATATCATTATGGTTATCATTTTGATGCCACTATATTACATGCAAAATTATAACCTTGAGTCATCTACAAGTGATGATCACCGTAAATGGAAATGGTAGAAGCGGAATATATGAATTATTTAATTATGTGAGCATATAGCCCTTGATAGAGTGGATAATTAAATAATGGTTGAATGACACACACACACACACACGCAGACACTTTTTCATTGAACGACATTCTCACTGAGATACTATTTAAATTTGGCAGGACCTGGAACCTTCCAATATGCAAAGTAGTAGGTGTTACTTTTATGTCTCTGCATACATTGTTTGGTTTTAGCATAAACCATGCCGGTTCGGATTTAGTTTTTAAATATCTTCCAGTTCCAGACTTACCTACAGTGATCTATGCCATCAAATACCTGAATCCAAGTTTAGGCAATGTTTATTGACAACACTAGCTGCCTTTATCATGCAATCATGAGCTTTCAACTAGCGGATAAGGTAAAAACTATCGTCATCACTGTATTATGGGTCATTTGGTGTTAATTACTCTGTTTATATTGTAGATTGTGATTATATATATATACATTTCTACTTTGTCTACAAATTTTAAAATTCTCTTACTAAATCATTTGTTATCATTGGTACATATCAGTCAGTTCACTGTCTGTGCTAATTCAACTGATATTAAACATTTTCTAGCTATTGCTGCTTGTGAAATTTGGTGCTGTAATTGATCTGTATCATATTAGTCATGCTAGGAACACAGAGTTTTGTGTCCCATTCCATGTTTGGTTTCTATTGGCACCTGTTTTTTTTTTTTTTGTGTATATTTCTCTTTTTCCCTGTAATGTATGCTCTGAACAGACTGGACTTTTGGTATCAGGTAAAAACAAATCAGGAGGCAGTGGAGTGCATTAGGAACATAAAGGATGCTAAAGCAGCTGCTAAGCACCTTACTTGTTGATAGCAAATATTAGTAGTTTTATTTGTTGATAGCTGCGCATGGATAACAAATAGTTATGTTTCAAATTGTTATGCTGGATGGATATGACTTGTGAATGAAAACTTAGAATAGTTGTATTGTGTTGAATGTTAATGAATTATGTATTGTGATTGAATGTTAATGATTCAGTTAATTTGAATGATGCTTTAAAATTATAGGTTTATTATGGATTGAATGAATTATTAGGAATTACAGATGTATTGTTTTCCTGCTTTGGCGACCAATTTATTAGTCACGACAAATAAATAATTTTTTTTCGCAAAAAATGACAATTGCCGACCAAGAGTTTTGGTCGCAAAAAATACATCTATTGCCGACCAAAACAGCTCTTGGTCGTGGAAACTCACTTTTGCCGACCAAAAGTATTGGTCGCGAAAAGTAACAAATGGCGACCAAAATTTTTGGTCGTGGAATGTCACAATTGGCGACCAAACTTTTTGGTCGCGAAATGTGTCAATTGGCGACTAAGAAATTTGGTCGGCAAAAGGCGACTTTTCGCGACCAAAGTGTTTTAGCGACAAAATGAATTAGTCGCGGTAATTAAATATTTAGCGACCAAAAATTTAATTTGGTCGGCAAAAGGCGACTTTTCGCGACCAAAGTGTTTTAGCAACAAAATGAATTAGTCGTAGTAATGATATAATTAGCGACCAAAAATTCAGTCGGCAAATCCAACTTTTGCCGACCAACCAAAATTTTGGTTGCGAAATACTTTTGCCGACCCTCAATTGGCGACCAAAGTAGCGACCAAAAAAATTGGTCGCGGATAACTTTTGCCGACCAAAAATAGACTTTTAGCGACCAATTTTTTTGTTGCCAAAAGTGTTAATTCTTGTAGTGTTGGTAACCAATGGTGTTCTACACAAAAGAAAAAAAGCACAGAATAACACTCAATGGTGTGGAAAAGGTTGTACACAATTAAAACTGTTAATTAGTAGTAGTAATATGAAGCATTAATTAAGTCACTATATAAAGATACAAAGCAATAAAAAATTGTATTATTATTAGGAGTATCAACTGATAAAACCAAACGATACTAACTCAATTCCAAAGCCCTTTATTCTGGAGCTTATTGTGCCAAATTGAACTCAAATTTTCAATTTGAATAAAAGAATCCAATCGTCTATTTCATAACAATCAAAATACCCACTTAATAGCTGAAAAAACTTTGGGGCATCATGTCTAAGAACTGTATATGGGCCTGCAAATCACACAGTGACTTGAAATCAATCTCTCAATGGTGTTCTACACAAAAGAAAAGAAGCAGAGAATAACACTCAACGGTGTTCTACACAAAATTGGAAACCAATAGGGTGATCTTCATACACTATCACTGCAACCATACTACACTGCAAGCAGATGTTGCAACCATATAGACAAACCAGTTTTCTAATCATTAAACCATACCTACTGTTTTATCAAATTCGTTGCTAAAATATAAATTTTGTAAATGAATTTGAAATGAATTTTGCTACCAATTTTCTAGTTAGTTTCGACTTTCAAATTTCACATGAGTTTTGTAAATGCACCCCAATAAAATTAAAGCAAAAACTAAAAGTTCTTGGTGCTTGGATCTTCAACTTGAATGGATAGGAAAAAACAAATGACTCGTGAGATGAGTTTAATTAATTTGTGGAGGATGTGTTGTGATTAAAAAAAAATATGGGTTTGGGAGAATGAAATTCTAATAATAACAGTATGGAGTCCAATCTAAATCATCCATAAAAATGTACATATCAAAAAGATTAAAAAACCTCAAGATTCTCAATGACCCACAAAGAACTGAAGAACTGAAGAAAAACCAATGAAGATAGCAAATTTTTAGAGAGAGAAATAAAGAGACAATGAAAAATACCTCTGTTTTGGTGTTGAACGATGGGTCTTGAAGCCATTATCAAAACCTTGAAGCCACTGCTGGGATTTGAATTGCAGCAAGGGAAATTCAAAAACAGTCACAACCATCAGCCAAAAACAAAAACAGATAGAGAAGGGGAGAGTCAGAACAATAACAAATTGTATATCAAGATATGAAGCATTAATGAAGTCACTATATCAAGATAAAAAGCAATAACAAATTGTATCAGTATTAGAAGTATCAACTGATAAAACCAAACGACACCAACTCAATTCCAAAGCCTTTGATTCTGGAGCTTATTTTACCAAATTGAACTCAAATTTTCAATCTGAATCAAAGAATCCAATCTTCTATTTCATAGAGGGAAAGAATAAACTCCTCTGTAGTGAATTTCCCTCCAACATCCATTAATGTTCACTATAATCTCTCTATGGATAAGAGTAATACATTTTTATCTAAAACAACCACCTACCTAAGAGCCCGAATTCAAAAATCAACCCACATCCTGAAAAACCCTAGATTGCTTACTAAGATGGATCAAAAACACCTTAAATGGCTAAACACCAACAAAGCACTATTCAACAAAGTATACTCAACCAATTTGATAAAACAGTTCTATCTCTAGCAATCGTTACCCATATCTTATTTTAGTTAAGTCATTTCCAATATATGAATACAACATAAAATTTGAACAAAAATAAAAAAAAATAAAAATAATAGAAATTAGAATCGATTTCAGCCAATTAGACTCGGACATTGACGTGATCGAACCATACTTGTTTATCGCGAAGCCACCACAAATGAGAGAGAAAGCTAGAGAGAGAGATCAAAGAAAGAGTAAAGTCTGTGTAGAAATATCTATATAATAAATTGAAGAAGTAAATTGAAATCTTACCCCTTGCAAGTTGTAAATTGAAATCCGAAGGGTTGTAAAGGATGTAATGGAAGGAGGAGGAGCAAAAAGGGTGGGTTTTTTTTCGTTCTGTTCAAGAAGAAGAACAGAGAGCGAGAGAGAGATAGAGAGGGAAGGTGAGAGGGGGACAGACGTGGGTAGGTGAGACTGTTTATTGGTGTGGTGCTTAGGGAGAGAGATGTTTGGGTGGGAATCATCATTGCTTTGAACCGTCAATATAAATTTAGGATTCATCTCAGCCGTTCAAACGAAATGTATCTCTTAGACATTTTGATATATACATTTTCAAAAATCATCCTGCTTTATTATATATATAATTTTACTTCATGGTCCCAATTTAAGAACATTGCACCAAACCCCATATGTTTAGAGTTTTGAATTAATATTTGAGATTTTATCCTTACCAATAAGATTTTAACATGATTATTAACTTATAATTTGACAGCGCATACACTGTATATTATGATTATTAAAATATTTTTATTTACTAAACTAAATTTTAAATTGCAAAATGTCATACTTTTTTTTTATATATTCCCTTTTAAGGGAAAAAAAACTATTTTTGAAATTTTTTGGTCGAAATCTATTGAATAAGATATATGTTGACTAAGAAACTCTATAAAAAAAAAATTAGAGCAATACTATACTTGAGAATTTTTTTTTGAGGAAGATGGTCATAAAGATTCTCTACTATTGAATTAACTTGCGGCATTTTATTATTATCAAAATTTATACTATTTGCAAACTAAGATTTCAAAATTAAAATATATTTACACTAAGGTAAGTTTTTTTTATTTTTTATTTTGTTACATACCACACTAGATTATTTCTAAAAATTTCATGAAATTTTTTTCTCCTTTTTTTCTTGACATCTAGCATTTTTGAAAAATTTAATGCACCACCTACGGCTCTTAATATTGTGTTTAAAAAAAAAACAAAAAGAGTGAAATCAACTTAATCATTTTTTTTTGGGCTGAATGTACTATTACTTTTTCATTGATAGTTGAAGTTCTCATTTGTTACAAAATACATATAATAATCAAACCATATTTAAAAAATAAATAAATAAACATTTTGAGGTTTAGTTTTTTTTTTTTTTTTCTTTTTTTTGATGAACAAGGAGCACCCCACTCTATCTATCTATAAATGACAAATCCATTTCTTATTTTGACCAAAACCACCAAATCCATCACATGGGTGTCTTCATTAAGCAAATCAAAATAAAATAATACATTTAAGCCATGTTTGATTCACAATACTAATAGTGAAATATTAATAATCCTATCAAATTAGTGTGGTATTAACTATCCCACCCCTACCCCATTACTAATAATCCTACAAATTTGTTAGATTAATTATCCATTGGATTAATAGTCCTAAACCAAAATGTCAAAACAAACAAAGGATGATTGGGCCCACGAATTAACAATCCTAATCCCATACTTTAATCATTCCAATCAAACATGCCCTTATCACGTTCAATTCATTTCATTGATGACACGGTTTCAAAGGAAGGAAAATCAAACCAAGCCAAACATGAAGCATGAAGCAAACATGAAGCATGTGATAATTATCGTATTTTTAATAAATAATATTATTATTTTGTCAAATTAATTTATATTTTATTAAATTAATGACTTTACTCTTAAAATTAAACAATAGTATATTCAATTGTTCTTATTTAAAATAAGATTCAAAATTCAAAATAAAATATGTCACAATTGAAAAGTTAAGAATCAAAGTAATACAATCCTCAAACTATAGGAACATTTAATATAATTAGTTCTTCTTTTAATAAAATATGATGGTGTAACTCACAAAGAGGTAGGGTGCAACTCAACTCCTTTATGTTTGTTTATTTTTTTTTATTTTTATTTTTACTTTTTTATTTTTATTTTCTGTTTTACTGAATTGTAAATCCTTCAAATTGGAATCATAAGTGAGCTCATTGGAAGGAATTTATGGATCATATCGTAAAATAGGATAAAAAATCATAAAATTTAAGTTTCAATACAAAATAAAATAAAAACTTATTGATAATAATAATGTATGTCCAATAATTTTAAAATTATTAAAGAAAAATAATTTAATATGATGCATTTTTTGTTAATATAAATTAGAAGAGATGTTTGGAGATGTAATCTATAGTCAATTTTTTTGCATACAAATATAAACAGAAAGGGAAAATTTTACTTTATCCCATTGTGTTTTTGCTCATATGCGGATTATACTCTTCTCATTTATAAATAATCATATAATTCCCTTGTGGTTTGTAAATTAAAGTGCACCATTAAACATTTTTTTTTAACTTAACAAGAAGTATGAAATATGTGCCAAACATAAGGGGCTTATATGCTCATTTTTAAATTTAAAAGGGGTAAATCACATATGAGGTTAAAGTACATTTTGCCTCCCTAATAAATGACAAAAATATTACTTCACACACTTAGGCTACTTATATACAATGGTATTTTAGACAATTTTTATTAAATTGTTAATGAGCCTAACAGTGCACTTTAATTTACAAATCACAAGAGGATTGTGTAGTTATTTCCAAATGAGAGTGAGGTAATCCGTACAAGAGCCAAACTATAAAAGAGTAAAGTGAAATTTATCCCATAAGAAATAAATTATAAGAATTGTTTTTGACAGGATCATGATTGTAATGGAATCGTAATCAAGGTGATTCTACACAATTTTATGATTAAAATAGTAATAATTCTATAAAATTTTTATGATTAAAATAGTAATAATTCTGTAAAATTTAAGATTTTAATGTGATTCAAATCGTTTGATCCAAGTGAGATGATCGAGATTGAGATTGTGATAACTATGAACATCTATTATAAAATTTTAAGTAGAACTTTGATTTACTCTATTTGTATTAATTTGTTTTCATCAATTTATTTTTTCCCCCATAAATAAAAATAAAAAGGGGCAGTTATACACAAGTTTTAATTTATGAACTTATGCTCCATTAAATTCTAATTAAGATTTTTTAGACCTTCAAGTCCCATTAAATTTTTAATAGTCGGATTGCCTTTCAAATAATGATTGTTCATCATTTATGATTATCTATAAAGGAACATGATGATTTAACATTTATTTTGATTTTCAAAACTTTAAAACATCAACTTTCAAATTAAAAAAACTAAAATAAAAATTATGTGCAAAAAAAAATTATTTGTTTTTTAAAAAACTGTTTTTTTTTTTTTTTTTTTTTTTTAAACGACCACTGCTCAATGAGCATAGAACCTATGCTTGAGATGCACAACCTTAGATCCAAAACAATGGAAAATTGCCCCTCGTTTGAACGGCACCGCATGGCAACTGAAAGTTGCCTCTAGTCTGAATAGCGCTGCAGCACTGCACGGCAACGGAAAGTTGCCCCTAGTCTGAATAGCACTACAGCACTGCACGGCAACGGAAAGTTGTCCCTAGTCTAAATAGCACTGCAGCACGTGGCAACCAGTTCTCACAGTGACAATTACAACCAAATTCTTAGATACAGAGAAGACAAAGATGACTAGAACCATCACATGGACATAGTCTAATTTGAAGTGTTTATGGCTGGACTTCAGAATGAAGTTGCCTACGTATCCCAAACACGGGAATCAAGCCTTACGTAGTTCGGGGTAGGTACACTCGTGTATTAACCCTCACATTTTACGCTCTAACTTTTGCCAGGGCCGCCCTTCCGGGTTTTCAACCTTGCGAGCTATGTTCTTCTTTTCTTTTCAATTCTTTTCATTTCCTTTCTTCTTTTTTCTTTTTTATCTTTTCTTTTCAATTTCTTCTTCTTTTCTTCTTTTTTTTTATTCTTTGCATTTTTTTTTTGTTCTTTTTGTTCTTTTTCTTTCTCTAACTTTTGCTTGGGTCGCCCTTCCAGGTTTTCGACCCAGCGAGCCTCTTAAGGGTAAAAGTGTAGCTTTGTCCATGTCAAATGGTTTTGAGATCCTGAAGTCATCTGAATCCAGGAGAATGGTTATTGTTCGCTGATGACGCAGAAGTCCATCCAATGGGGGCTGAATTTGCCCCTAGTGTTGTGGATAGGAACTTAGTTGTCCTTCAACAATACTTTCTTCTTTGCTCCCTTCTTGGATTTGGCATTCTTGCCGATCTTCATCTTTGATTCTTCGAGCACATTTGAAATTCTTTTGCCTCTAGTTTGAGTGGTGTTCCTGATCTAGCTTCGTAAGCTTCTTTTGATAACACTTGATCTTCTTGACCTTTTATTGCCCCTAGTTCACGGGCTGCTTCTGATCCGGCCAGATGCAAATTCCAATAATTTGATTAAATTGCATTAATTTATTTAGGGGAGTGCCCAAATTGTTCGATGTTTCTTTCCCAAATTAAGTGCATGGATGATATGAGATTGATTCATGTAAACTCGTCAAAATATGGAGGGGAAAAATCTAATGAATTTGGGATCAACCTTAAAGTCACGTTGTTGTCTTTAGAGATTTTTTCCCCAAATTTGTGTCAAATTTTTTCCCGTCCATCCAGGATAGAAGAATCTAGAAACTAAAAGAAAATTGAAAAGTCTAAAAAAAAAGATTCACTAAAGACAAAAAAAGCAAAGTTTTTTTGTTTTTTGTTTTTCCCCACTTTTTATTTTTTTAAACTTATCTCGTCTGTCTAGTCAAGTAGAAACTAAGGGTTGGTTTGGGATGTTCTAAAAAAGTGCACTTTTTGACTTATTGGCTTATATGGGTTGGGTTTGGGTTGGGTTTGATGTGATGTGTTAGAGAGGTGATGTGATTTAAATAAGATGATGTGACTTAAATAGGATAGTGACTTTTTGACTTTTTGTATTATTTAATTTATGCCAAACCAACCCTAAATAAGCAAACCCCAATCTTTTATTGAAATGAATTTCAGGCACTCCCAACTTCATTCATTCACAGCACAATGTCAACTTTGGCAAAAACAACATAGATGGAACTATTGGTTCATGCCCCCAAGGCTACATATGTACATCCCAACCATGAACATTTAGCATTTCGCTTAAAAATGGACATTAGGCTCTTTGATTCCACCAATCTCTCCTGGCAATGAGAGGTTGAACAAAAGATCACTGTTTGCATCATTTTCAAAACAATACAGACTTGCAGGGTCTAGGCACCATAGCTCAGAGTGTGGAAGTATAAATCCAGGATCAACCAACGTCCCTTGAAGATTTTCCATGTACAATTTTTCCATTTCCGATAAACTTTGAAGTTCTATGCATGTTTGTGAGCCAATATAAGCCTCTACGTTCCCAATAGCAGGGCCAGTAGTACTTGGTAACAGTGCTGGGATGTTCCTAGACCCATCGGAGGAGCTTGAAGCTTCTGGAGGATTAGGAAGCAATAGATTCAATTCTGGTAAATTGTTTTGGTTGGATTCAGCCTTGGATGTTTTCAACTGTGCTGGTTTGTGCAAGCGCTTTTTCAGGTGGGTGTGCCAGTAGTTCTTTACTTCGTTGTCGGTTCTTCCAGGTAGTGCTGCTGCTATTGCAGACCATCTGAGATGAGAGAAAGATGTCAAAACATTAGTAGTTCTATGTCTTAACACATAAATTGAAGAAAAAACAAATACTGCATGCAATAGATATAAGCATCTTAGATTGGAATTAAAAATATCCGATATAATGCCACTGTCTAATAAAAAACTGTAAATGAATTAGGTGGATAAGCCTTGTCTCCCATTAACCTAACAATGTTGTAGTTTCTTAAATCGTTAACTAAGATTTTTATCGGATATGGTGATACCGCCACATAGTTAACTAAGATTTTTATCGGATATGGTGATACCGCCACATAGTATCACCGTTACATCTAATATTTACTCCTTATTGCATCAACCTCTTCAACTCAAGTATCACATATCCTATGCCACACACCTGTGCCATCAAAATTTCAAGGATCTTGTGTTAAAGTCTCGTGTACTAGAAATTGTTCCATCATTTCCTTATAGTAACACTACAAATACATAAAACTACACAGCTTTTCATCTTGGATGCACTGCATTTCTTACACTTCTCTGGAAAATTTTATTGTTTTCCTTTTCTTGTATGAGTACACCAACAAGAGTACTTAGCATTGAAGGAGGATGAATAAAAACTCTCTAATGCTAAATACTAAAATGTTTCGAGTCATGAATGGTATGATATTTTAAGGCTGCATGGTAATGTTTTCCATTACCAAACATTACTTCCCCACATCGTACGGCAATATTTTATGCTATGTCATATAGGTTTCAAAGCAATCTTGAAAGTAAAAATCTAAAATAGCATCTAAGTTGTTGGATGGATATTGTTGTACCAATTGCTAATCTTGTATGAAAATGAAAAACCATGCAGACTATATGCTTTACGATGTCAACATTTGTTGAGAGACATCATATTGCAATATTTCCTGTTACAATATACTAGTTATGGCACTAAAACAGAAATATTAAGTCCTGATCTTGTGACTTTTATGCATATTGAAAGTACCATAACCAGTAAATTTCATCAACATGACAGTATATTGTTTGATTTAGGAACTCACGATGATCTAGGTTATTTGATATTCCAATATTTGTTTTTTTACTGAGAAACTACTACTTTTCAGAGATCAATCCATATTCAACCCATAGTATCAATCAAGCTTAAATTACTTGGCAAAAAGCTTGAGATTACAATAATAATTTAAGCTTAACTATGATCTCCTATAACCCTCAGTTTTTGTCAAAACTAATTGGTAAGTGAAGGCCTAGATACAGATAATTTAACAGATGGATTACTTACTTGTTTCCCAGCTTTTCATGCATTTTGAGTATGGTTTCTTCTTCTCCTCTGGTAAAGTTTCCGCGTTTGAGATCTGGCCTTAGATAATTCACCCATCGAAGTCTACAACTCTTTCCAGACCTTAATAAACCTGGAATAATTAGAAAAGAAAAGAAAGGACAACATTAACATGAGTCGCACAAACACGTGCACCAAAACAAATTAAAAACAAAAATACTATGTACCCAGAAACAAAAAGAGCACGTAAAAGAAGTAAGAAGGGTTTTCATAACCATATCGCCTATTGACATAATTGTTTCCTACCTGCAGGTTTTGCCATCTCACTCCAGTTCCAAATGCCATGTCTCCTGATGTAAGTTATCAACTTCTGATCTTCTTCAGGACTCCATATGCCTTTCTTTAAACCCGTCTTTTCACAGCGCCGAGTTCTCACCATCTCTGTGAGAGTAGCTGTCTCTAAATTTTCAGCTCCCAAAACCTCAAAGCTCCTCAGTAAAGGTAGTCTGTATATATAAACTAATATGATCAAAAATCAAACGTGTTAAATTTCAAAGTTACCTAACATTTTTTAATGGGTGCAATTGTTTTCAAAGACAAGACCAAACATTTTCAAGATGGTGTCTCACCTAGAACATCACTTAATATTTGTTTAAGAAATATAAAATGACTTACAGAAAGTTATAGAGAAAGACTTACAGAAAGATGTCATAGTGGTATTTTTAAAATAATAAGCCATTTTAATGTGTTTTGATTGGAAATGAATGGATATAATTTTTTTCACATGATTTTGTAGATTTTTTTTTTTTTTTTTCGGTTAGTATATCATTACTAGTAAATATTATATAAACTAATAAAATTTATAATTTTTTCTTACTCACACAAGTGATGCATAATAAAATTTCGAAATTTGAAACAGAACCACCAAAATAATATGCCAAGAACAACTTATATAAGAAAAGTTTAGAAAATTTATTAATTTATATAGTTATGTAGTTGCCATCTGTAGAGGTGACAGTCGAAACTTCCTTTAGTTGTTTAGTTGCCATTTTGTACGTTTAGGATGAGTATGGGATCAACTTAAAGAAGTCATATTATTTTATTTTATTTTTTAATTTGTATCATAATATTTTACTTTTCAATTTCTTCTAGTGTAAAAAATCTGGAAAGTAAAAAAAAAAAATTCAAAATTCAAAAAAGGTTCACTAGACAAAATAAATAAAACCAAAAAGGCCACCATGTTTTGTCATGGACATTTTCTAAAAATTTTATTATTTTTAAAACTCTTTTACTCCGTTTGGTGGAGAAATATAAATTTTTTAAATATTTTTACAAAGTTCACTAAAGTTTGACAGGAAAAAAAAAAAAAAGATCAATCCCAAGCACCCACCTTAATTTTTATGAAAGGTTATAGTGTGTCTGAGTATAGAACAACTTTCTTTTGTACTATGCGGGGGAGGTTGAAAGATTTGTTTAATTGATTTTTTTTTCTCTATTTATTTGTAATGTTGTATAATCATTTAATATATTATTATTTTTTCCAATAAAAAAAATGTCATTATTGGCGCTCCATATATATATACATATATATTTATCAGCAAAAAAGACAAAGATTTATTGATTATAATCAAAGTTCAATACAAATGACATATATCAATAAAGCGAGTGAGTGCAAATAGTATCGTAGCAAAACTAAACAATCCCTGCCTAATCATTTGCTAGCACAACACCAAGGTGGTGAGTGACCAATCAACAAATACACACCAATGCAGAAAAAAGAAATTGCAGCAGCCAAGTCCCACACAATATAGAAAAACAGCCAACATTAGCAAAACAGCAGCTGCATATCAGACAAGCCCTGCAAATCAGACAACAGCACCACTAGCAATCAAAACCCCTGCATATCAGGCAGCAGCAGCCAAGGATTCTTCTGTCACTACTTCACTCTTCCTCCTAAGCAAACTCTTATCTGCCTCAAATTACCAAGAAAATCATGGATTGTGAACTGAGATTCCTTAGTGGATGACTTCATCCATAATGGAACTCCAATTTTGATCAATTCACACACTCGGCCAGATTAGGGGTAGTTGCCTTAAACACACATTCATTCCTATGTTTTCATAAGGACCACAAAACAGCCAGGGGAATGTCTCCGTATCTTTCTTTTCTTCTTCTTTAACCTCACACCAGCCCACATATATTTGATATAATACTATCAGTTCAAAACTATTTATCAAACCATCTAATTTATTGAGCCATCCAATTTAGGAGCCATCTTCATTTGAAGGGATTGTAGTTAACATTTGGATTAATTACACCCAAACCCCTTCAATTACTAGTGAATATCACTTTACTTAAAGAGAATCTAAAACTAATATTTTCATTACACAAAATAGCTTCTATACAGTTAGTTTCAATATGAATGGATTCAGAACATAATAAGGAAGATAAGGCAGTAATGGAGATAGGTTCAGATCTGGTACGAATGGATGTTTTAAAAGCATTGTACTCATCAGGTAGTCCATTTAGAGTAAGTAAAACCAGATCTTCATCATGAATTGGTGAGCCAGCAAGACTTAAGTGATCAGCAATAGTTTTGATTTGACAGAGATAGTCCTCCATTGTTGAATTCTTCTTGGTAAGATGATTGAGCTTAGTTTTCAATTGATGTACATGTGATCTAGACAAAGAGGTGAATCTTGTAGCCAATGTAGTCCATACTTCATGACTAGTGAGACAATGCAGAACAGATGTGTATATGGATGAAGACAGTGTAGCAGTAATCCAACTAAGTAAATGTGCATCAACAGTAATCCATTCTGTGTAGTCTGGATTGACTACAGCATTATGATTCTCATCCAGAATTGTGGAAGAAGGACATTTCTTTGATCCATCAACAAATCCACGTAGATTTGTGGCTCGTAATATGTTTTGGAACTGACTTCTCCATATCAGATAATTTGTAGTCTCAAGTTTGATTGGAACAAACGAATTTAGATTGGAGATGAGCAGAGTGAGATTGGAAGGTAAAGAAGCACTGGTAGATATACCTGATGAAGAAGCTGCCATTGCTGATTCTTAATGAAGATTCACCATTGATAGATTGAAGATGAAGGTTTTAATGCTCGCAAGAGCTAGAAGGCTCTGATACCATAAAGAGAATCTAAAACTAATATTTTCATTACACAAAATAGCTTCTATACAGTTAGTTTTATATACAACAATTGTAACTCTAGTTACTAGTTAACTAACCTAAGGTACAGTTATAACAACTTTCTAACTAACTAACACATCACTATATGTAACACACGCACCACTATCTCTAACTGATTTGTAACAGATTTGTATAGCTTCTGCTGTATCAATCTGCTGCAGAAAGGAGCTCAGCTCTGTGACTTCAACTTCTCTTCTTCTGCAGCTATAGGCTGATCTGTAGCTGCTGTAGTTGTTGCAGAGACATTATCATTACTCTCTTATTTATGAGTATGCATATATTGACCCTTTGATTATGAAAATAGTACAAATACACTATTTTTGGAGATGATCTAAAGATGGTAAATACATTTTTATAATTGAGGTAGTCAAAATGTATGAGTTGACAGATGAAGGAAAAAAAATATTATTCATAAATAATTGAAGTGTGAACCATCAAATGAGTAAATTTTATTTCAGATCACTCTAAAAAATCCAAGGAACATGAATAATTAAACATTTTGGTGCCAATACTCATTGCTTTTATGTTCATGTTGAGATTGGTTAGCTTAGCTAATGAGTTTGAGTAAGTTGAAGATGAAGATAAGTGATTGACAAATTGAACACTATAGGAACATTGCTAAAGATATATCATCAGCATCAGTTGATGTATAGTTGCTGCTGTATGTTAGTTACACTATGTTTGTGTGAATCCTAAGTTCTCCACTTCTTACCATCATCAAACCAAAATGGTGAAAACCAGATCAACACAACACCTACTGAATAAAGGATTCAGATGTAAGATAAAAATATCAATTGTTGAGCAACTCTTATCTAAAAACTTTAAGTTGTTAGAGATGAATTATTTTATTTTATTTTTCATATCTTTAATACTTTTCTTGTTTGGAATTATATTGTGTTTTATAAATGAGCCAAGTAGGTACGATTGGTAATTTTGTTATTTTGGACATAACTTCTCTCTAGTCCATTATTTGGACTAGAAAGTGTTGTTGGCTTTATTATAGACCTATCATCTTTGATAATCCAACATGGTCATCTTACAGGACCCGCTTAAAAGATTATCCATGCAATAAATCAAATTAGTCAAATAATTGTAATCATCTAATCGGATCATAAATTCATGTTAAAAAAAAAAAAAAAAAAAAACACAGTCTATTAGAAATAAACTTGTACTCCTCTCGTCTCTTGTCTCCTGTCTTCAAATTTTCTTTTTTTCAGTACATCGGAATAATCCCGTCTTCAAATTTTCAGTGCATTGAATTCTCATCTAAGATTGTTTTAAGTATAAGAACTTCAAAACAAAAGTTAATTGTTGTGAATACATGGGAGAGTGAAACTTAAGGGAGAGGATCAAGTGCCCTTCGGGTTCGTTGAAATCTCACTCATATAAGCAAGTATAAAAACCATTTTCATATGCTTTGATTATCAGGAAAATCAATTAAGATCTAATGTTTATCAAAATGTATTTTGATCTCAGGTCAGGAGTAGCACCACGTTATCCTCAATGGGTCAATTGACCCCTTAGCAATTGAAAAATTACTAATAAAAATATTATTTTTAATATTAATATTTATTTGCACTCATTTATCTTCACTGTGTACTCATCTGCTATTGTTTGCATCCATTGGCTGGACTCTTATTTTGTTTATACACCTAATAAGCTGTATACATAAAAGATAATCGTTCATTGGTTAAAATAGTAAGGTCATATTTTAAATGCAGTCGATTACACTCTATGTTAACTAATCAAAGTGTTTTTTTCATTGGCTATTGCTTGCAACTTTTAAATAATAATAATAATAAATTATATTATGAATAATGCTATATATATCAATTAGTATACTAACTAGTGTATCAATTGATGATGTGACATAATTTAAGATATTTTTAATATTTGTAATTTGTATAATGAGTGAGATCAATAATAACGTCATAACTAGTATTGATACACTAATTAATATACTAATTGATATATGCAATACCACTCTTATATTATTATATCATATTAGAGCATCTCCAACGGTAATAGGCATTTTACCTATTTAAATATTACTATAAAGTATACATGTTATTTTGCCTATCAACTGTTTCATGTTTCTACTCCAACCATGCTCTTTATTTTAGCTATTCATCCAAATACTATTAACTTTATAGAATGCCACATCAACAACAAAGATGGAGGGAAATAATCCTAATGATTAAATACATTTTGCCTAACCTTGAAGGCTAGCTACATGTAGCTAGTGAATGTGAGCTGAGCCAATATGCCTAATCATATACCTAGTGCATTGAAGTTGAAAAAAGTGAGTTACATTAGGCATTTTAACTAACAAGTATTATATGCCTAATAAGTTGGAGATGCTCTTATATTATTTACTCCTTCTCTCGGCATTAAAGAACCATGACCCACCCATTTATTTATTTATTTATTAATAATGCAATATTTATCATATTCTCTTTACCTCTAACTGTGATGCATTTGCATTTAGGTGTGAATATTTCGCATTAAGTAATAAA